AATGTCTCGATTTGTCAGCCGGATTTGAGGCAGACATCGTAACGACAATGCACTTCAGATGCAGTTAAAGCTTAAAAATAAAGGTTAAAAGTCCGCATTGTCATTTCGTATTATCACTGACCTCTAACATTCCTTAGAAGTTTTTTCACTTTTATTTTGAGACTCGCGTATATTTTGTGGGTAATATGGCACTCGTTTAAAGTACTATTACAATTCACAATACATAATATAGTGTTATTCAGAAGCTCGAATGACGAGCTGGGAGACCACGCGAGAATGAAAACTGCCCAAAAGAGAGCGGAAAAGGGTTGTGGCATGTAAATTGCTTCAAAGGTTTTCAGCATACCCGCAAGGGAAGCACCAACTAAGTGTCGATTAATTTTCGAAAATTTAATAAGAGAGGTGAAACAAGAAAGTGATACAAAAAAGCTCACTCACCTTTTGGAGATTAAGCATCATTCAATGAGAAAAGTGAGCAGATCTAGAGTGAACCGAGGTCTGATTAACATATTCATGCTGACGTGTTTATTTAGATCACCAGTTTTCTTGGGCCCAAAAAACCGTTTTCTAAAGAATTAAGTTTCTACATCATTTTAAGTAATGCATTAAACACCTCATTGTTTTAAATACAAAATTAATTTGTAAGAGACATTGGAATAATTTCTTTGTCGTCCGTCATATTGATTGTAATTGATTTTATATGAATCTCTCTTCAAACCTAAATCTTCGACCATTAAAATGCCGTCATTGGTGAAAATGTGAGAAGACGGTAAGAAACTCTCAGAGAACCCGTAGTGAAACATACGCCACCTACCTCCACGACGTCCGTTTAAAAAAGAGTAGAACGTTGAAAAACCACACAGGGAGACAGAGGGCCGACGTTACCGAAAGCAGAACCGCCTGTGTACGAGTGGGTAGCGGCGCAACCGCAGGCTGAGTGCGTCTGGCGAGGGCGCGTGACGAGACCGAGGGGGGGGGGCGGAAGCGGGAGCGCGTGGGGGCGGAGGGGCCCAGGAAAAGGGGCTTCCGCGCCGCGCCGCGCCGCCACAAAAGGACCGCTCCCGCCGCCGCCGCCGCGTAATGCAATTTGGCGAGGGCATCTCGCCGAACGTGTCTCCCAGGGCAATGCGCCCAGCGCGGCGCTCGGCGCACGGAAAGTACGGCCCCGTCCGCCCAGCCGCCCAGCCGCCCAGCCGCCTAGCCGCGCCCGCGCGCTCACCGCCAGCGTTGCACCAGGGGGCGAGGGTGGAGGCCCGGACGGGCAAGAGCGGAGACGGAGGCGAAGACCGGGATGAAGAGGTAGAGGAAGACAGAAACGGAGAAGGTGACGGAGAAGAATAGATAGGAGGCGGAGAAGGAGGCGGAGAAGGAGGTGGAGGAGGTGGAGAAGGAGGCAGAGGAGGCGGAGAGAGGGAGACGGAGAGGGGGAGACGGAGAGGGGGAGACGGAGAGGGGGAGACGGAGAGGGGGAGAGACGGAGAGGAGGTGTTGACTGAGAAGGGGTTAGACGGAGGGCGGTGGTGGACGGAGGGGGGTTACCGGAGAGGGGGGTTACGGAGAGGGTGGTTGACGGATGAGGGGGGGAGACGGAGAGGGGGGGAGACGGAGAGGGGGAGACGGAGAGGGGGAGACGGAGAGGGGGAGACGGTATGGCGATGAAGGTGGAAACGATAACGGTGACGGGATAAGAGGCGATGAAGGAAAGGGGGGAAAGTAGAGAACGGTACTGGCAATGGAGGTAGATAGAGACGAAAACGAAGGTAGGGTGGCTGGGCGGACGTGGGCAGGCGCGGAGGCGGCGTCACCATCAAACGCTGGGGCGAGGACGGGGGAGGAGCGGGAGCGATGCGGAGGGGCACGATGGAACGAGTGTTAAAGTAATTGTAAATGACAGCTGATGTATATTGAAAAATACGTGGTATTTATAGATATGGAAGTCTAGAAAACACTAATACAAATTGAATGAAAATATGATATGATGAATGGAAATCCTATTGATAATTAAAATGGTTGAATAAAAAACTCTGGGGATTAACTTAGTAAAAATATTCGAGAGTCCCAGTGAATATTTTTGAAACAAACTGGCAATGAAAATTGAAATTGCTAATAGTGAATAGTGCTTATAAACTGATATAAAAGAGAATAAAAATTAACGTCGGCTGTAGGATCCGGGAAGCTATTCAGCGGAGGCGGAACGGGGCGGAAAAAATAGTCCCGACACAGTGAAGGCATTGACGAAGCGAACACAAGACAGGCGGTGGATGCGCCGAAGCCAGAGGTTGGGCGAATGTTCGAGCTTGGAATGTGATATGAAAAGAAGAACATTTGCAACATTTGGTGTACTCAAACACTTCAACCTTCACAAACAACTTCCACTCGCTGATCACTGATCAGCGGATTTTTATGCAAACGACCATTTTTTTTTTTTTGCGTAGATATTTTACAAACTTTCCCTGAGCATTTCCGTATTACAAGACATTCGGAGTGCCTAAAATGTTTTTGTTTTTTTCAATTTTAGCGCCTAAAACGCCTATTCATCTAGTATTTATTTCATTTTGAATTTTAATCAGTTTAGACTGACTGAACGCTTGTTTTATAGGCAAATTACTACCATAAAATTCTGTTCTCGAAAAATTACAGTTTCAACGCTTATCGTTAGCAACTGTCTCAACTTTCAGTGAGGTCTTCCTATAAATACTCTCTTTAGAACTAATAAATTGGGCATTTGCCGATCCGGATAGCCGAGATTGCTTAGGCAGAAGTGCCGTGGCGATATCGAATGGAAAGATCGCGGGTTTGAGTCCCACCTCGGGCATGGTTGTGTGTGTTTTTGTTTGTATGTTTCTGATTTTCCCTTCACCCGTCATCATCATCATCGTCGTCATCATCACCATCGTCGTCATCATCATCATCGTAACCATCATCATCATCATCGTCACCATCACCGTCGTCCTATTTTTGGCCCCCATGGCTAATAACCATGGGATGTAAAAATGGATTCGGCCTAAAAGTGCTCATCTTCCCAAAGAGGTCTCGTGCATTTGCTCACGGGTGAGTATGACTGGACCTCGGTGGATACAAATAACACATCCGCGTGGTCCTAGGATCGCCGCGTTATTAGGCATTTATGATAACCTTGATCTTAGGTGTCAAAACTAAATGATTCATTCTGCCAATTTACATCTTACAGGATTGTTTTGGCTTTCCTGTGCGCCAAAGAATGTTCTTCCTGCTGTCTCTTTGGCTTTTGCGAGATAATCTTCAAAGCTATATTTTGTTAATATATAATATATTTCAGTTTTGTATCGTAAGTATGTTCATTGCGGTAATGTTATCGGACGTTTAATGTTTTTCTTGCACTCATTTGTCTCAATGACAATATTTCTTGGCCAGTAATATATTCTTTATTTTGTAAGAAACATAACTATATAATATTATGAGTAGTGTTCCATATCTTCAACCTTATCTACTTCGGTGAAGTGCAGTTTTCTAGTCTTCAGAAATAATTCGATAGTTTAATAAAAAAATCGGTTATTGTCTTTTAACTGTTTTATCAAATTCTTTATTGTCGACAACTCTTTACAACGACCTATATATTTTCGATTTATGCTACTGTATAAAACTAGTGAAATACACATAATAAGAGACGTGTATAATGTGATTGCGTCGAACACCTGCCTAGAATGTCCACTCTCTCCCAGCACTTTTTGTTGCAAAACGGCGACATGCAAATGTCATTGGGTGATATCGTCATTGATGGGCATTTCGTTGCGAAAGCTCTTTCTATGGAAATAGGAAGCAACTGTAAAAAGGCATTTCCATGCAGCGTGGACTATCTGCATCCGGAAACAGTGAGAGTATTGTGAGTAACTTACAGCGTCTTCCTGAATGTATAACGCATTTTAAATACTCTTTCATAATTATTATTTCTTAGTAACGTTCTCATTAAACTTTCTAGCAATTTATTTAATAAATTGTAAAACATATGTTGAGAAGTCAATTAGTAAAAAATAGATTGTTGTTAATTTTGTATGTGATAGCTATCTTTCCTAGTTTTACTCCAAAACTGTATTTAAGAAATAATCACCAGTTAATTAAATCAATTTAATTCAACAAAGGATTACGAAACACGTTTTTCAAGTTCAAAATGCATAAAACTTTTTTATGAGTTTTGATTCTGGAAATGAAAGATATCTTGGAAATTAATTAATTACAAATCAATTACTATTTAATAATTACATTTCTCTTGTTTTAAACTTGCGTGACTAGAGAAGAGCTAAGGAAGAATGGAAACTTTTTATGATCTTCGTGAATTACCATTTTACCGTTTCTATAGCAATATTTGCAATCTCTGAAAGGTACAATTACTCTGAGAGTATTAATTCGTGATTTTAATATGTATCCAAACCGCAAAATATATTTATCGTTCCAACATGCTACTGTGTCTGAAAGCTCCCTGAAACTTATCCATTGTCTGAAATTTCAATTTCCACTGCTCTCCGTTATTAATAGAATTCACTATTTGTAACCGATAAAGAGCTCCTCAATGTAAATGAAAGGGTTAGTGGGAGATAATCATCAACTGTAATGGTAAGTCATTTGAGTTCACTATTTCGTCCGGAGTTTCCCCAATCAGTATATTTTGTTTTCATTTTCTGGTGTATAATACGCGACTGATTTTGTGGATCCTGCATTGACTGGCATGTGTCCAACTAGCGTTAAAATGAGCTTAAAACTACACTGGCGTGTCTTGCGATGAACTCGAAGTGAATCCTTCAAATAATACGCTCCTCGGACACTGTCTCTAACGTTCACATTACTCAACAAAAGAGAAAGGAACGCACTTAAACAAGTAGTGATATTGCCTTCGTTCCCCGCAATCGCTCGGCTTGCGGTCGGAGCGGTCCGAACACATACATAGAAAGGTCCTGTCTGTCTGTGGGTCCGAATTAGAAGTAAGTGGCAGCGCCTGATCTCTGTGTGCTTGCGGCCTGTTGCAGGAGCGACGACACCGCGGCCGACCGCAGGGGTACTGGCGCCCGCGGCGGCGGCAGCGGCGGCGGCGGCGGTGGCCGCGGTGCTGCTGGCGGCCAGATAGCGCGCGCGGCGCCGCCCCTCTTCGCCCCCGCCCCCGCCCTCGCCCACGCCCGTGGCCACGCCAGCGCGGGACCTGCCCCGCCGGCAGCGCCGCCGCCCCCGCCCCCGCCGCCACCGTCGCCGGCGCATTTGAAAGTCAAACGACCGCTTCAAAGGACGAGGAGGAGGAGGAGGAGAAGAAAAAGAAGAAGGCGCCCCAGCGTGTGCCCCACCGTCCCCCGTGTGCACGTCGCCCCGCGCCGCAGCCCCCGCCCGCGCCGAGCCGAGCCGCGTCTGAGTGCAGCGCGATAAGCGGGTGCAGCCCGGTGTTTACACGCCCCGGGCGCCGGCGGAGTGTGACGCGAGCGGTGTCGGCGCTGTTCCGAAGCTGTCCCCGGCCCGCGCGGGACGCAAGACGGATGACTGCTGCGAAAGCCTTTTGGTACGTACGATCTGCCGGGAATAAGAGAAGGCACGTTGACGGGTCAGTTTGAAGTGAAGTTTGCCGGTGTTTGGGGCACACGATGGTGATGGTGGTGATGGTGTTGGTCATGGTGGTGGTGGTGATTCTGATTGTGTAAATGGTGATGTAATGAATAATGGACTCGTTGAAGCAATCTCTTTTCAAGTGGAGCAAAAGTGGTTTGTGTACTCGTGAATGTGCGCAGCTGAGAAGTGAAAAGGGGGTGCTATCAACTGAGTTGTGTTGATTGTCTGAATCTGTAACTATGAAGTGGATTATGTCAGTCGTTTTTTATGTACTGAAAAAAATGTAGTGATTTGTGCACCCCAAACAGTGGTCCGTGTTTCCCGTAGCAGGAAAACAATCCCATTTTCTAATGTCACGTTATTTTGTGTCTTGTTTTCCTTGCAGGGGAACCATATGTGATTATTTTATTTTAGAAACATGTCTCCTGAAAATGAAAATAAACTACCATCTGGCACGTTGAACTGACCTCTTTAATTAAAAAACCGTTGAAAAAAGTCAACACTTTTAAAATACTTTTTCTTCTATTCGTTTCGGACTAGTCTTCCTCTTAGTTTGCATCTTAGATAAAGGTTCACTGAGAAAATTCTGTACAAAGATTGATAATTCATAACTTTTATTAATATTTAAGAAGAATTTTTTGCATGTTCATATATTTACACTTTTATGATTTTTTCAAACAAGTGCGAGTGTAATAGTTTACTTATCATGGGATAATACACAGAGGACATATACGTGGACCAAACAGTTGAATACTGAACCGAAGGATTTCTCCTCTTTAATGTTGCTTTTATGAATTCATGACCAAATGATTTTCATTTTTTATTATTTGATAATCAAACGTAGCACTCTGGTAATTTGCTGCAGTTCAAAGCCAGATAGCCAATATTGTCATTGTGGTAATAATTCCCTAGTTCACTCATGGTGCTATTCGGAGCTCTTGTAGTGAGTGTGCTCAAATGATTCGAGGATGAAACCTTACGATGTCATAATTGAAGTTGTGTGATTGTATTGAATTGTCTGTAGAAATGTATTGATTTTAAAGCAATTATTCGAGCTATATTTCTAAAAACACAACCTAAACCCACCTCACTTTCACAATTCACACATTGTATTTTCAAAATCATCACTAAAATGCCGTCATATGGCCCGTATGAAATATTACTCATTTCTCGTATACTGAATTGAATGTGCATCCATTATATCTACACATTCATTTTTCAAAGTTTCGTTTCATCACGTTTATCTCTTACTTTTTGTAGTGAATACAACAACATTTTACATCGAGCATTATTTGAAGTAGTAAAAAAGTTGCTCTTCTAAATTTCCTCCACAACAGTTTTTTATCAAAACCCAGTAATTCAAATGTGTGGTGAAAACATTCAAACATAGGAAATTCAAAGCAGCTGTGCAGAAGCATGCAAATTTTCTTGCTTCCTCTCTCCCTTACACACACACACATCCGCACACAAGAGGGGAACATACTGAAGGTTGACCAGAGGCCTCACTCACCTCTCGGGCCCCGAATAGCGCTGTGTTTGAGCTGCCCCGGCACCCCCGCCCAGCGCCGCGATTCCTCCCTGCGACCTACAACAGAGAGAGTGGTTCTCCCACGCACCCGCGCCCCCGCCGCCTTGCCCTCTCTTTGGAGGGCAGCCGAGTTCCCAGACTGCACTTGACCACACCCCCGACCAAGGCCGCCGCCGCTGCCGCCCCTGCTGCGGACGCGCAGAAGTTTCCTCTGCCCGGGCGCCGCCCCCGCCCCGTCCACGTGGTCCCACCGCCCCCTGACCCATGGCTCTGGCCATAGCAAGCCCATTCCTCCCACTCGCCCATTTAGCACATTGTACGCCCCCCCAATCGCCATTTCCAGCCCCCTCCACCCACCAAACTTCACTCCATCACCACTCCACCCCAACCTCCCTCAACCCGTTCTATAACGCCCCAACTCCACCCAAATCTCTTACAACCCACTACCATTCTAGCCCCCAATCTTGCCCTTAGCCCCCCCTAACCCGCCCCCAAACCCGCCCTCAACCCGCCCTCAACACGCCCACAACCCGCCTCAACCAGCCCCAACCAGCCCCCAAACCAAGCCCCCCGCCCCCAACCCCACCCCCAACCCGCCTCCAACCCGCCTCCAACGCCGCCTCCAACCCGCCTCCGAAACCCGCCTCCAAAACCCGCCTCCAACCCGCCTCCAACCCGCCTCCAACCCGCCTCCAACCCGCCTCCAACCCGCCTCCAACCCGTATCCAACCCACCAAAATCCACCTCAGTATGTCCCAATCCACCCTAGACCTATCCAACGTGCCCATACCCCCCAATCCTTCCGGTTCGATCCGATCCGGTCCGATCCGGTCCGATCCGGTCCGATCCGGTCCGATCCGGTCCGATCCGGTCCGATCCGGTCCAATCCGGTCCGGTCCGGTCCGGTCCGATCCGATCCCATCCCATACGATCCCGATCCATCCCACTCGTCCCGACGCTCGCCGTCAGTCGTTCCTACCCATCTTCGCTACCCGCTTTTGCCTCCCGTCCCTGCTGCCCAACCGCACATCTATCCCCCTCCTCTATCCGCTTGTCCTCCGCCCTCGCTCTTCGTGGTCTCGGCGTCAGCCCGGTCGTTTCGGCTTTTCCCACCCCGCTCCCTCCTCTTCGCTACTCCCACCGCTGCGCCGCCAGCCACGGCACACACCGCGCGCCGCCAAAGGTCCTCCTGTCTTTTGAATTTTATTTTGGAAGCCCAACCGCCCCGGGGCGACCGCGCGGAATGTCTTTGCCTTTGCACTTCCCCGAAACCGCCTCGCCGATTGGGGTACCGATGTGTTTGGATTAAAACTCGCCTCAAAGGCGGCCGAGTTATACCACACGCTATCGTTTAAACACAAATAAAACATTGCAAGAGGAGAATGAAAGCCAATTTTACGAATCAAAAAATTGTACCATCAATACGCAAGAAAAGGGAACGAATAAAAATACCGACTAAAAATTGTAATCGGTTTTCTTGAAAATACGCGATGATAAAGGTTCACGTTCTTCGTATGTGTTGGTATCGAAGAGGATAACTTGAAAATATCTCTGCTTGTCTTTCCTATTATTACCTTTAAATCAAAATATAAATATATATACACAATATTATTTTATAAAGGCTGCGTTCTAGATACTCGGTGACATGAATATACCTGTAATCAAAAGAATACAATTGAATTGTAGCTATCGTAGTTCTCCAATAATTTGAGGAAATTTAATATTCGCGTGATAATGGTTATCGCTAGGACGCGTATACATGATTGATATTCATCAATAGTATGAAACTGGAGAATTTATTTTCACTGTGAATATTGGGATACACGAAAAACCGGATTGACGCAAATTACTGCAAAACCAATTTACATATTTCAAAGAATACTGTGAATGTATCGCGGAAACATGAAATGAGAGGAAAATAAATATTCTGGCATGCACTTCGAAATCTTTGAAAAAGTTCACTTATGTACGTAAGGTTTGTTGTAGAACCAACCAAAATAAAAACGCCACGACTAATTGTAAAATTGGTCTAAAATTCTTGAAAGTAAATCGTGTTAACATTTGGGTATAAAATTAATTTTATATTTTTGAACGGAAGTAATTATTTCATCAATGGAAAATTACTTATTTACACAAAAGATTATTTTTTGGAACTCCACATGATGAAGCTTATGCCAATCATTTTACTGCACTATTTTACAAAAGCGACTACCTTTTTCATGACACAAACTTTCAGAAAGCAACTGTTTCTTTATGGTAACTCCATTAATTCTGTTAACATTGCTAGATTTGAAGAAAATAAAATCAAAGTAGTGAACCTCACGAATTAAATTTATCGGCAAAGATTTTGTCATTTTCCTTTTTACCCGTGCCATACGATTTTAGAATATCAGATATAAAGGTGATCGAAAATTTTGAGAATAAATGATGTTATGAACTATAATACTGCTCGAAATGGTAAAAGCAGATACGAAATTAATATTCACGATCCATGTGAGGTAAATGACACTAACCATGCCAAATCCGTCTCAATACAATTTACCAGTATTGCAACTAAAATAATTTTGCAAATCTAAAGGGAAATAAGTCTGAGCTTAAGTCGTTTCTGTTCATATCGTTACCCAAAATCCAAGGTTTGTGTTCTGAGTTATTTCTTGCAAAACGTCTGAGAATCTTGGCCTTAAGAGGGTATGTATCCTAGCGAGTGAACTAGTAATTAAATTCATAACACTTAAATTCATAACACGATAAATTGAGGTTAATAACTACGTTGTATCTTTTCAATTTGACACACCTTATTAGGAAAATAGTGAATGTGACTCCAAACAAATTTAGATGAAAGAACAATATTATATACGAAATAAATTTACGCAGATACGTAGTTTGTTTTGCGAGATTAGGTATAATAGAATAGACACATTCGAGATTTCGGTAAGGAACCGTGATACGAGGCGTTCAGGATATTTTGTAAAAGTAGCGAAAAACAAATCACAAAGGAGTGGTTGTCAAATCTTGATGTGCACTTTTTGTCTGATGTACTTTGAGAATGTTGTGGCTCACGCGTAGAGCAGAATGTAACATCTCTTACTTGGTTTAGCACTTCAAACGCTGGGTAAGCTACAAACCATACTAGTTCATTTATTAACAATACAGGCCGACTTATGCACACAGGATATTTTCAGCATTGGCTCACATTATTAATAAAAACATGCGGAGTTACATGTGTGGATGGAGAGATATGGATGTGTTAATCTGCAATTTCCCCCCAATTGAACCACTATTCAACAGTAAACAGCACATTTCCAAATAAATTTCAAAAATAATATTAATGTCTGGATTTTTTAAAATATAATGGCGTAGTCTTACGAGACCCAACGATAATAAAAGTAATTACATGCTAAGATAGTCTGTATTATGTGCTAATTTTTCATTCTTAAATTATTTTCGCAGCACGCTCGTGTAATTCAACGATACACTGCTCTGCCGCGGTACAAGTTTTGAGAGCCACTGCAGTGTTATGACTGCAATGAAAACAACTCTACCGCAGAGTTTTAGTGAAAATACTAAATAATTAATTCAGAATATTATGAATAAAAAATCACCTATATGAATTTCTCTTGATTTCAAGTAGTTTTTCGACATTTTGAAGATTTTTTTTCACTATCGGGAGTGGGCTACTTTCAGTTATTTTTCTGCTTTGAATATTTCCGCAACCGTTCGATTCCGGCCCATGCTGTTTTGTATAAAAGTGCTTCAAGGTACTTATTTTACTCCTTTTATTTTACTTTTTTTCACCGTGTGCAAATGCCGTCGGAAAAATGAAGAAAAAACTGTCGGATAACTACCTCGCCCTAGGTGCAGAATAAACAACAAACGTGCGTTGTAAAAGTACGCTCGCAGACTTTGCAGCGGGCACCACAGTGGAACCACCTGCTGCGGTTGGGTCGAGGCAGTCCTAACGACCTGTGAATCCTATGTTTACTCTGTGCTGCCCGCCGCTTTGCATGTTGCACGGATCTTTATACCTCTGCCCCCGGGTCTTGCAACTGAGAGAGAAGTAAAGGTATCCGATTTCTTATTTCCACGAAATTTTGTTTGTTCAAAAGACGCTGCAATCTAAGATCGTTACCTAACGTCCCACATTTTGAGCTATCGGCGACCATTTCAACCTTGCGATAACGATTGTTCTAAAACTATTTAAAGGAATTTTAATTATATCCATCCGTTTTCATTACTCAGAGCAAAAAACAATGTGTCTGGAGTTTTACTTAATATATCACAGTCACTATGTGTATGTAAAATACAAATACTCGTACAATGTTGACTTTTTTATGAGAAACGCTCTCCTTAGTTGTATTCTCCATTTATTTAGGAGAAACAATTTGCTTGCCACCACGAAACAATTTGCTCGCAGAACATGAAAGTTTTGTTTGAGGCTCGAAAAACAGATGCAATAGTTGTGATAAAAGGTTATGAAAAATTGAATATAAGATTATGCGAGGTAATGCGACCATGCACGGTGTTATGGTTTGTAAATAAAAATATATTTTATGGTCTTTCTCATGAACTAAGCTTAATATTGTTACCAGTGTCAACAATCTGTGAACTTTCCTGTTGAAGAAGCTTCAATCAAGTTTGCTACAAGATGATTTATTCATATAATTTAAAATCATTTATCTTGGACGAAGCCAGTATGTTAAAATCCGAGACGTGTTCGCCTAGTTTTTAAGTATCACTAGTCTCAATGTAAAACCTACATCGTTTGAAGCACGGCAACAAGCGGCCACAGCAACAAGCGGCTGCCCCACAAATTGTGTCAAATTAAAAGGCCATCTCTAACCCTAAAGAATGGATACGGCAGATGATTCGTGAAAACAGACTTGTTGAATGTTCTTAGTTGAAAAAGGCCATTATTCATGCTGCCTCGTTTCGTTAGAGAATTAATATGGACGTTTTAAAATATTTGCTCTATATATGAATGACCTTGGTTTATTAATCGTTTTATTACTGTGGTATACAATACAATTTTGTAGTGGAATTACTACGTTTATAAACATTACATTTGTGTTCACATTGTTATTATTTCATAACAAGTTGCAACAATTTCTAAAATTTAATGTTAATATTACGGTTAAATCCCTGTAAGCTTTGTTTCGTGTCATGATTTCAATTGCAGTCAAATATCACACGACATCAACACATGCAGTTTTGATTATTTCTTTAAACAGAACGGACTTCTTGAATCTTGACTTAGTTTCTATCCGTACAGATTCTCTAGTGTAGTGTATTGGGATGTGAACACTGGAGTAGATTCCTCCCATGGTTGAGTGGCGTATTAGATCCCGAGTGAGACGGCGGGTGAGATGACAAGTGAGGCGAAGGAGAGACCACGAGTGAACGGGTGAAGCAGCGGGTGAGGTGATCAACGAACGAATGTAGCATTGTATGAAACGACCGGTGAAGCAACGGGTGAAACGATGAATGAATCAGCGGGTGAAGTGACGGCTGAATTATTGTGTGAGGGTACGATTTATCGGTTGAAAAAAAAAACATTGGGAGATACGACGGGTGAAGTGGCGGGCAAAGCTTCCGGTGAAGCATTGGGTGAGGCGACGTGTAAGCATTGGGTGAGGCGACGGGTGAACAGATGAATCATCGGGTGAGACGTCAGGCGAAGCAGCCGGTGAGATGACAGACGGAGCAACAGGTGAAGCGAAAGGCGAAGCGCCGGGTGAGGCGCCGGGTGAAGGGTTGGAGCGGCGGGTGAGGTCGCGGGTGAGCCGGTGAGCGGCGCGCGTCGGGCGCAGCGGGGCTTGCGGTGCGCCCATTTCAAATTTCCCAATGTGGCTCTGCCGTTGCAGCGGAGTTTTGCGCTGGATTAATGCGACTGTCATGTCTCTTTCGGGGCACGCAGCTTTATTTCGTTTTATTGGCTCGCCGGCCGGCCAGCCAGCCAGCGAGCGCGCGCGGGCGCTAGGTGTTTTTGCGGCAGCGGCGCCGGCTGAAGTTCAAGCCCTGAGGGTGAGCCCCCAGCCTTGAATCGCTTTTCCTTTTTCTTGCGCTGCTTCGCGACCCTTTCCCACTCGTTTCCCCTTTCGTGCGCTGTTCTTTCAGCGCAGTTCGCTGCTCAGTCTGCCTCGCCCGTTTCTGCCCTTTGCCGTACCCCCCCCTCTCTTGCGAAGCGGCTGTAGCTCCATTCAGTTATGTTCCGGACCCATGTGAAAGCACAATTATCGATTGGTCATTTACTCTTTTTCGTCCCTCCCATTCATTTCTCTCTTCTAGTGTCTTCACTTCTACAACAGACCGTTTTACAGACCTTTTCCAATTTATCCTTGGGTTTTCATTTTTTTCAATTATATTAACTCGCATTTTATGCCACTCTCTCTCTCTCTCTCTCTCTCTCTCTCTCTTACTCTCGCTCACTCTTTTATCTTCTTTTCCTTCCTCTCCTATTCTGTGTTCCTCATCCCCCTCTTCAGCCCTTAGTTTTACATGTTGGAAAAAAGTGTTGTGTATATATGAATTACTAATATGTATATTTAATATGGGACGAGATTACGCATGTAAATTGAAAGCTTACATTCTATAAGCCAGTTCCACTACTGTGTCTCTATAACAACTACATGTGGTTTTGTAAATTTGTTGGCCGTACGAAATCCTGAAAAAACCCTGAAGGTTCGATTATGACAAATAAAACAAATAAAAAAGAAAATAATCTTGTGTTCTCATTTTTCTACCACCGTTCCGAGAGAGAGCGAGAGAGTGTGAGAGCGTGCGAGAGAGTGTGAGAGCGAGCGAGAGAGGATGAGAGCGAGCGAGAGAGGGTGAGAGCGAGCGAGAGAGTGTGAGAGAGAGCGAGAGAGTGTGAGAGAGCGAGAGAGTGTGAGAGAGCGAGAGAGTGTGAGAGAGAACGAGAGAGAGTGTGAGAGAGAACGAGAGAGAGAGTGAGAGCGAGAGAGAGTGAGAGAGAACGAGATTGAGTGAGAGAGAACGAGATTGAGTGAGAGAGAACGAGAGAGAGTGAGAGAGAACGAGAGAGAGAGTGAGAGAGAACGGGAGAGAGTGAGAGAGAACGAGAGAGAGTGAGAGAGAACGAGAGAGAGAGTGAGAGAGAACGAGAGAGAGTGAGAGAGAACGAGAGAGAGAGTGAGAGAGAACAAGAGAGAGAGTGAGAGAGAACGAGAGAGAGAGAGAGAGAGCGAGCGAGCGAGCGAGCTGTTTTCACAATCGGACTGGAATCGCTTAGAACTACG